AGTACCTAATACTGGAGGAGGAGGAGGAGGAGGAGGAGGAGGAGGAGGAGGAGGAGGAGGAGGAGGGAGGGGGGAGGGAGGAGGAGGAGGGAGGAGGAGGAGGAGGAGGGAGGAGGGGAGGGAGGAGGAGGAGGAGGGAGGAGGAGGAGGGAGGAGGAGGGAGGAGGAGGAGGAGGAGGAGGGAGGAGGAGGAGGAGAGGAGGAGGAGGAGGGAGGAGGAGGAGGGAGGAGGAGGAGGGGAGGAGAAGGAGGAGGGAGGAGGAGGAGGGAGGAGGAGAAGGGAGGAGGAGAGAGGGAGGAGGGGAGAAGGGAGGAGGAGGAGGAGGGAGGAGGAGAAGGGAGGAGGAGGAGGGAGGAGGAGGGAGGAGGAGGGAGGGGAGGAGGAGGGAGGAGGAGGGAGGAGGAGGGAGGAGGAGGAGGAGGAGGGAGGAGGAGGAGGGAGGAGTGAGGAGAGGAGGGGAGGAGGAGGAGGAGGAGGGAGGAGGAGGAGGAGAGGAGGAGGGAGGAGGAGGGAGGAGGAGGAGGGAGGAGGAGGAGGGGGAGGAGGAGGGAGGAGGGGGAGGAGGAGGGAGGAGGAGGAGGAGGAGGAGGAGGAGGGAGGAGGAGGGAGGAGGAGGGGGTGGAGGAGGGGAGGGGAGGAGGGAGGATGGAGGAGGAGGAGGAGGAGGAGGAGGGGGGAGGGAGGAGGAGGGAGGGGAGGAGGAGGGAGGAGGAGGAGGGAGGAGGGGAGGGAGGAGGAGGAGGGGGAGGAGGGAGGAGGGGGGGAGGGAGGGAGGAGGTGGGAGGAGGAGGAGGGAGGAGGAGGGGGAGGAGGGAGGGAGAGGAGGAGGGAGGAGGAGGGAGGAGGAGGAGGGAGGGGAGGAGGGAGGGGAGGAGGGGGAGGAGGAGGAGGACGGGAGGAGGAGGAGGGAGGGGAGGAGAGGAGGAGGAGGAGGGAGGAGGAGGAGGGAGGAGAGGAGGAGGGAGGAGGAGGAGGAGGGAGGAGGAGGAGGAGAATACATAATAATAATAATAGGTAATAATAAGTTCCCTTGAAGCATGAAAAACAAAGTCCACCCCTGACAGTGACATAAGATGAGATAACATCTGATAAGAGCTGACATTTGATGAGCGTACACGAGGGTGGGGGAGGGTGCAGCTGTTAAGAAAAGATTAGAGGCGATATTTGATGAGCATCACCCTCACTTTCTTTTCGCTGGTACACAAATATGTCTGTCTGTCTATTTGTCTGTCTGTCAAGCTCCCTGTCTATCTGTCTATCCGTCTAGCTCTCTGTCTCAGAGAGAGCCACAAGACTGCGTCATCACCTTTACTCACATCTTCTAGCAGAGTATAGCACTTTGTCTGGATTTTTTGGGTTATCATAGGTAATTTACACTATGTATACTTGTATTTATGTGTACCTGTGAGACAGAGATAGACAGACAGAAAGAGAGAGACAGATAGACAAAGACAGAGACAGATAGACAGAGACACAGATAGAGACAGATAGATGGAGGTAGACAGAGATAGACAGAGATAGACAGACCCTAAACTTGGGGTTAACATCATTTTCCTCTTAAAAGACGAGTGTTAATATGACATTACATCAGTGGATCCTTGGTGTTTGCCGCATTGTTTGCTCTAGCTGGCACTCAATTTAACTGGCACTCCCACAAGGTACTAAGTGGTCCCAGATTTTTTTAATACCGTGCACACTGAGTGTTAGGACCCATTCTATGCTGACAAGGCATCTCAGGCCAATCGTGCCAAATTTGAAGGCAGGAAAAATAAAACGTATATATACGTTTGGGGCGCAACTCGTAAGAATGTATGTATACGTTTGGACCGTTTAAGGGTTAAAAGTAGGTTAGATAAATACACAAGTGGGTGTGAGCGGGACCTGACTAGCTTGTGCTACTAGGTCTAATGCCATGCTCTTTCCTTAAGTGGAAGTGTCCTGACTAGGTGGGTCATTGGGCTAATCCTTGGGGGGGGGGACATGGACCTGCTTCGCATGGGTCAGTAGGCCTGCTGCAGTGTTCCTCCTTTCTTATGTTACTATGCATGTCTAGTGTGACCTAAGTGTACGCAGAAGTAGCAAAACGTACCTAAAATCTTGCATGTTTATGAAAGAAAAAAAAGACCAGCAATCCTACTATCATGTGAAAATTACAGGCTTCCATTTTATATTCACTTGGCAGGACGTTAGTACTTCCCAGAGTGGCTGCTTAAAACAAATACAGTGGACCCCCGGTATTCGATATTAATACCGAAAATATTGAAAAACGAATCAATTTTCCCCATAAGAAATAATGGAAATCAAATTAATCTGTGCAAGACACCCAAAAGTATGAAAAAAAAAATTTTTACCACATGAAATATTAATTTTAATACACAGAAACTGAAGAAGACATGCACAGTTACATGACACTTACCTTTATTGAAGATCTGGTGATGATTGATGGGATAGGAGGAGGGGAGAGTGTGGATGGTGTTAGTGTTTAGAAGGGGAATCCCCTTCCATTAGGACTTGAGGTAGCAAGTCCTTTTCCGGGGTTATTTCCCATCTTCTTTTAATGCCACTAGGACCAGCTTGAGAGTCACTGGACCTCTGCTCCCGTTCCTTTACGATTTGTCTAAAATGGGCCACAACATTATCTTTGTAATAGTCACCAGCACGACTTGCAATAGCCGTGTTAGGGTGATTTTCATCCACAAAGGTTTGCACTTCAACCCACTGTGCACACATTTCCTTAATTTTTGAAGTAGGCACAGTGGATTCCACAACTGGCATAGGCTTCTCAGGGTTAGCTCCAAACCCTTCAAAATCTTTCTTAATTTCCATACTAATTCTCACCCTTTTTACCACAGGGTTGGCACTAGAAGCTTTCTTGGGGCCCATGGTGACATATTTTGCAGAAACAAGCACCAAAAACAGTGATAATATGGATAATATGGAATGCACCGAATGTATCCTTAGATGTGCGCACACTGGCTGGCTTGTAAACACTGGCATACAAGGGGCAGTTCAGGCCACACGTGGACACGTCTCGTACGAATCGTATCGAACACCGGGTTTTCAATCGGATACCGAGGCAAAATTTTTGCGTTAAAATGCATCGAATACCGGATTTATCGAATACCGATGCCATCGAATACCGGGGGTCCACTGTATAGTATTATTACTTTCAGATACAGTACTTCAAAATATATTTTTAAAATTTAGAAAATATTTTTTTGTGGACCTTTTGCTGGCAATGAGCCTGGAGCTTCATGTCCCTCAGTCCCTCCTTAACCCTTTCAGTGTCGGCAGGCCCTCTATTAAACTTGTTCTCAGGGTCAGAAATTTTTCAAAAAAAAAAAAAAAAAAAAAAAAAAAAAAAAAAAAAAAAAAAAAAAAAAAAAAAAAAAAAAAAAAAAAATATGAAATAATAGAGAATCTTTTCCCGATCATAATGACACCAAAAGTATGAAATTTGATGAAAAACTTACAGAATTATGCTCTCACAAAGCTAGTAGTCTCAACGATGAATATACATCGGCGATTTTGCTCACTTTGAGCCCTATTTTCGACAAATTCCAATGTACCAGTCGACAAAAATCATAACTATTTTGCTAGAACTCCATTTTTTTCTATCGAATGAGTACAAGACACCACCCGCTTACAGATTTCAACTATCCAATAAAGTGGTCAGAAATTGGCAATTTTGCCAATTTCACACAAATTTCAAAAGATGCGAATTTCCAAATAGGGTCCAGAATAAACAAGACAGACATTCCTGGCACTAAAATAACATTTTTTCTGTTCATTATTCATGTCTCCAGGCCTCTCTTACATTTCTTTTGCTTTCCACTTTGAATTTTTATTCTCACAAAACACAGAAGATTTACTGTTATGCAGACTACTGCACTAGTGTAGAAATGGTATATATTTCCTGTTCTTTGGGTAACCCTGCCTTGATAGGATACAGTTGCTAAGATTAAAAAAAAAAAAAAATGCCACGAAAGCCAGAAAAATGATAATTGGATAATGAGAACTTTCAAAGCAAGAGAAATAAAACCAATGATTACATCATTCAAATTACTTGTGCACTCTCATCTAAAATAATGTTTGGTGTTGATGGCTCCATACAAGATAAGAAAGATATCTAGACCTAGAATATGTAGAAATTGTTTACGGCCTACGTGGAGCCAATAAAAAAAATTAAAATTTTAAGTGCTCTCTGGTTCAATGAAGGGAAAGATACCTGATAATATATACATGAAAGATACTGGAGAGCTTGGTCCCAAATGTACACACAACCATAATATACTGCAATGAGAGACATGGGGAGAAGTGTACAATGAACCCAGCATAAGGCAGCGACACGATAAGAAAACACTGTGTCAGTAGCTTTGGTTGAACGCTTCAATCTACTACCAGCAAATATTAGAAATATTATTAGATCAAATGAAGAAGACTTCAAAAGGAAATTAAACCACTACTACTTCTGCAAAGCACCAAATCAACCAGGTTGTGATGGCTATGTGGACCAGCAGACTGCCAAAAGCAAGAGCAACAGCCTAGTTAAACTAGGGCCTGAAAGAGAAGCCTGACCCCCCAGGCTGGGCCATGAGGGTAGAAAAACCCTGAAACTGGTCACAGGTATGCTATGAATCTTCAGTGCATATGAGTTCTTTTATACTTTACAGAATTGTTTTAATTAGGTTAGATTTTAGAATGCACTGCTATTATTATTACACTGCATGATATGCAGTGTAATATCTTTGTGAAAGGTACAACTTTTTAAAATACATAGTTGGGTCAGATTTTTTTCATTTATCTTGTAGTCATAAATGATATTTGCTGGTTTGGTATTTACAAGGCATCCATATACATAGCTTCACAAAATAAATTTCACTGCATTTCAACAATTCTCTACCACAAGTAATTAAAAATACAGAGGTTTTTAATTTGAGCTGCCATTTTTTCTTTCTTCCAATACCAAAAGAAAATATTTAGAAAATATTCACTCTACCTCAGAGAATGACATTCCATCTGTCATGAGACGATTTATGAGTTCATCCTGACTCTTTCTATCTACAGGTTCTGTGATAGGCTCATCATCATCTTCAGTTTCTTCTCCTGTAGCTTCAGTCATATGCAAATAGTTATCCACACCAATGCCTACTGCTTCAATTGTTGGACTGGTCTGCAAAAGCAGTAAAGGTAACATTAATTTGCATAATATATGGTTTATTTTCCCAATGAATCATTCTTGGGAAACTTGACAATGATGTATAGAATTATCCTAAACAATAAAGTTATCTAATTCACTAGTAATAATCCTTTGTTGACAGAGCTCAGATACTCTCTATCACATATTTAAAAATACAGATAGCTTTTCTAAATCCATTAAAGAAAAAAAAAAGTTCCTTACCTGTATATAGATGAGAGTGAAAGAATTACTGGGAAATAAGCCCGTTGAAAATACCAGGTAAAATGTATGATAGCATTATTATTCAAAGAATTAAGGGATAGACAGGAAACAGGACTTCAGAGCAACAAGAAGGTTTCAGGATGGGTTGGGGATGTGTAGACCATGTGTTTGTAATGAAGCATATAAGTTAACAATATTTAAAGGTAAGGTACTTTTCTGTTGCGTTTATAGATCTAGAAAAGGCATGTAATAGGGTGGATAGAACAATATGGAAGATGTTGCAAAAGTATGGAATAGATAGTAAATTACTTAAAGCGGTAAAGACTTTTATGTAGATATTGAGGCTCAGGTTTGAGTATGTAGGAGAGGAGAGAAATTATTTTCTAGTAAAAGTAGGCCTTAGATGTGTGATGTCACTACAGCTGTTAATAAAGATGAAGACATAAAAGAAGTGAACACTGGAGTGTTGGGGTGAAGTGTGGGATTAAAAGATAATGAATATAATGTGTGATATTAAGTGCAATGTATGGTGTTAATAGTATGCAGAGAATTCATAGTCTGGAGATTAGAGAGAGGTGAGGGGTTACCAAAAGTAGAAATCAGAGGGCTGAGGAGGGCTTGTTAAGGTAGTCTGGATATTTAGAGAGGATGTAGCAAAGTAAGATGACTAGGAGGGTGTATAAAGCTGAAGTGGAGGGAAGCAGCACTAGGGGTCATCCAAGGAAAGCTTGGAGGGAAGGAGCAAAGGAGGCTTAGTGTGAGGGGGTTTGGACATCAAAAAGGAGTGTGAGCGTGTTAGGCAGGAGTGAATGCTTTTGTGATTTCATGTGCTGTTGTAGAGTGAATAAAGCTACCTTTAAAAAAAAGATATAGGGAAACTGGATAACCAGATTTGAATCCAGGAGGTGGAAAGTAGTGTCTTCACTCTGAAGGATGGGTGGAGATGCTGCAATTTCGAGGGTCATCTGAACTGTAATGTCAGCACGCCTCAGGAAAGACAGTGATAGAAGCAACGATGGTGAAAGTGTTTCTTCTTTTTCAGGTCACCCTACCTCAATGGGAGAAGGTTGGTGTTAAAAAAAAAAATAAAAATTATACAAGTGGAAGTTGTCCCACTGCTTTTTAGAATATTATACCATTCTTTTGGGAGATTCTGAAGAGAAGTTGCAAAGGTTCGTAGAGGAATTTGGGAGGGTATGTAAAAGGAAGATTCGTAGACTGACAGTGATTTTAATATGTAGTAGGTTGGTAGACAGCAACCACTCAGGGAGGTACTACTGTCCTGCCAGTTGAGTGTAAAACAAAAGCCTGTAATTTGTTTTACATAATGGTAGGATTGCTGGTGTCTTTTTTCTGTCTCATAAACATGCAAGATTTCAGGTACGTCTTGTTACTTCTACTTACACTTAGGTCACACTACACATACATGTACACGTTTACACAGTAAGGCCCCGCTTTACAGCGTTTCGCCTTATGGCACTCCGCTAATACGGCGATGCCAAATTATGACCAAAATTTGCTATACGGCAAGCGGTCTTTCAAATACGGCACCCCCACGCGGTTTATTTACATTTTCCGGGACCACATCTATTATGTCAGGAAACTTTCCAAAATTTCAAGTGTTTTAAAGTTACTGCATATTTTATATGTACTCTGATAATTATACTTAAGTGTACCTGTACCTAAATATACTTACACACTGTGCTGGTGTGCAGGTACACATTAAAATCGCTAAGTCTCTCTCTACTCATGACGCCAATACTACTTAATAATAATCACTCTTGGGCACACTAAATGTCTTATTTTACATCAATATAGGCATTTTCATTAATCCATCTATGATATTTTCCTCAAAATTATATATGAAACCCATTACATAGCATATAAACATGATACATACACTCACAGAATAAAAATTGATGTAAATATGAGATTTGTTTACAAAGCAGCTGTGTAGATAGTGTCGGAAGAATTACGTTTTCTCTAGTCAAACTGGGGGATAACTGTAGAAAAATATTCTTTTTGTATGCCTTTACTCTATATATAGCAATTCACGACCCTTGTGGGTTTAGTGCTTTTTACTGATAATAATAATAATAATAATAATATTTTTTTTTCAACAAGTCGGCCGTCTCCCACCGAGACAGGGTGACCCAAAAAAGAAAGAAAATCCCCAAAAAGAAAATACTTTCATCAATAATAATAATAATAATAATATTACAGTGGACCCCCGCATAGCGAACGCCTTGCATAGCGAACAATCCGCATAGCGAACGCTTTGTTCGCTAAAATTTTGCCTCGCATAGTGGACAAAAACCCGCTCAGCGACCTTCATCCGAGACGCGTCCAATGTGCGGCCTCAGCCAGCCTCACATGTGCCGCCCGTCCCATTGTTTACCAGCCAGCCTCCGCGGTAACATTCAAGCATACACTCGGAATATTTCGTATTATTACAGTGTTTTCGGTGCTGTTTCTGGAAAATAAGTGACCATGGGCCCCAAGAAAGCTTCTAGTGCCAACCCTGTGGTAAAAAGGGTGAGAATTAGTATGGAAATTAAGAAAGATTTTGAAGGGTTTGGGGCTAACCCTGAGAAGCCTATGCCAGTTGTGGAATCCATTGTGCCTACTTCAAAAATTAAGGAAATGTGTGCACAGTGGGTTGAACTGCAAACCTTTATGGATGAAAATCACCCTGACACAGCTGTTGCAAGCCGTGCTGGTGACTATTTCAATGACAATGTTATGGCCCATTTTAGACAAATCGTAAAGGAACGGGAGGTACAGAGCTCTATGGACAGATTTGTTGTGCGACAGAGGTCCAGTGACTCTGAAGCTGGTCCTAGTGGCATTAAAAGAAGAAGGGAAGTAACCCCGGAAAAGGACTTGCTACCTCAAGTCCTAATGGAAGGGGATTCCCCTTCTAAACACTAACACTCTCTCTCCCTCCTCCCATCCCATCAATCATCACCAGATCTTCAATAAAAGTAAGTGTCATGTAATTGTGCATGCCTTTTTCAGTTTGTGTGTACTAAAATTAACATTTTTTTGTGGTAAAAAAATTTTTTTTTCATACTTTTGGGTGTCTTGCACGGATTAATTTTATTTCCATTATTTCTTATGGGGAAAATTAATTCGCATAGCGAACATTTCGCATAACGACCAGCCCTCTTGCACGGATTAAGTTCGCTATGCGGGGGTCCACTGTATTATTATTATTATTATTATTATTATTATTATTATTATTATTATTATTATTATTTATTTTTAATAATAATATTTTATTATTATTATTTACATTTTTTTCCTTTTTGAACCCCTTAAAGGGGTTCCCCTTTTGCCAAAGTTTTTTAAAAAAAAAAAAAAATGCCACGAAGCCGGATAAAATTTTAAAAGGGTTTTTAACCCAGGAAATTTTTAAAAACAAGGGGATTCCACAATCTGGGCTTCTCTCTAAAAATTAATTTTTTAATTTCCAAAATAAAATCTCCCCCTTTTTAAAAGGTAAAAATTTTGGGGGCCCTGGGCAATTTAAAAAAAAAAAAACTTTTAAAATTGGTCCCAAACCTTGGGGGGGGGGGGGGGGGGGGGCCCCCCCCCCCCCCCCCCCTTTCCCCCCAACCCCCCCCCCCCCCCCCCCCCCCCCCCCCCCAAAAAGGTTAAAAGGGGAAAAAATTTTAAAATTTGATTTGAATGGGGTAATGAAGTATTAACTTTCAAAATGTCCAAAATAATTTTTTAAAATTTTAAAAAAATTTTTTTTGGGGAGGGGCAATGCCCCAGCTTAGGCCCCTAGCCTTTTTCCCCCTTTGTTGGAAACCCCTAATTAAATTTTTCCATCAAAATTTTTAAAAAAAAAAAAACAAAAAAAAAAAAAAAAAAAAAAAAAAAAAAAAAAAAAAAAAAAAAAAAAAATATGAAAAATGGCTTTTAAAACAAATTGCCCAAAAAGAGAAATTTGTAAAAAATTTTAAAAAAGAAAAGCTGACCCCAGGCTGGGTTTTGCCTTTTGGGGTAAAAAACCCAAAAGGCCAGTAAAAATAAATTTTTGCTAAATCTTTTTTTCTAAATTAAAAGAAAAAGTTAAAAGATTTAAATAAAAAGGGGCAAAATTTAAAATTTTCCCAATTCAAAAAATTTTAAAAGGGGAAAAAAGGGTCCAAATAAAAAAAGACATTTGGCCAAAATTTTTTTTTCATTATCTTTTTGGCCCCCTTTAATTTTTTTGCTTTTTTGGGTTTTTTTACCAAAAACCAAAATTTAGTTACCAAAAATATTTAGAATTTTTAAAATTTTCCTTTTCTTTTGGGCCCGCGTAGATCGGCGGGGAAAAAAAAAAAAAATAAAAGCCCAAAAAATTTTTTAAAGAACCAAAAGAAAAAAAAAAAAAATTTTTAAAAATTTCTTTTTGGCCCCTTACAAAATAATTTTTGTTGAGGCCCATAAAAAAAAAAGAATCTGACCTAAAATTTAGAAATTTTTCGGTAGGGCCCCAAAAAAAAAATTAAAATTTTAAAGTGCTTCTGGTTTAAGGGGTCCGTAATAATCCAAAAAAGTTTGGAAAATTGGCCCGCCCAAACCTTTTTCGCGGGAAACGGGGGGAAAGTAAAATGCCCGATAAGGGGGAAAGGCCTGGTCTGCTTTGGAACGTCAATTTAAAAAATTTAAAATTTTTTGAAAATGGAAGGTTAAAAAGGAAATTCCATCTTTTAAACCCAAATATTTTGTATGGAGGGAAAGCACCCCAAACAAGAAACACCGAAATAGGGGGGAAA